TGACTCTAAATGGACCATAATGTACTAAATGAACATCATGCTGTATTGAAGAAGACTTGAAACTAGAGATTGAGACCATAAACTCATGTTTACAATGTTTACTGAGGTAATAAATCAAGAGAGAAGTAGAGTCATTTTCTCATAGACTTCTATACAACCAGAGGAGTCGCCCCCTGGTGGACACTAGAGAGAATGCAGCTTTAACACATGAAGCTCTGACTTCACTTTAAAGAACCGGAGGTTTGTCTCCTGGTTCTAACCCGTTCAGATCCCAGTGGACTCTTCTAGGACGTCTAGATCTACGATTTTTCCTTCACCCAAATGCACAAACATACAGTATTTGATTGGGTCTCTTTAAGCCAATCACAGCGTTCCACATCACCTGAAGTTAAACCGGTTGTGTGAACTTCTGTTGGCTTTCATGGAGCAGCTTCAGCTCTGAGCCCTCTAAAATGGAGCGGGTCCTGGTCCTTTAAGGGCCCTACAGATCAGAAGTGACACACACAGACTAACATGTTAGCTTCATTAGCTCTGGCAGAAACCCTCAGGAGACGCACACACACACGTTATATTTATAGTAGATATAGATTAAACTGACTCCTGCTCTCTCTCTCTCTCCCCGGGGGTCCACACGGTTACCATGGGGATGAGAAGCTGCCCTTTAACTATGTGATCCTCACAATACCCCCATCCACTCCTTCTATCTCAGTGTAAACTCCTCTCTCTCTCTCGTCACACTGAGATCTGACTCTCATTCGACCGATCAGAGGACGAGCAGCAGCTGCACTCGTAGTATCAGAAGTACTGTCAGTAGTAGCATCAGTAGATGCAGTAGTATTAGAAGTACTGTCAGTAGTAGCATCAGTAGATGCAGTAGTAGTATCAGAAGTACTGTCAGTAGTAGCATCAGTAGATGCAGTAGTAGTATCAGAAGTACTGTCAGTAGTAGCATCTGAAGTATTTGTTCCTCTTCAGCGGGTCATGGAGTCTGACTTTGATATTTTCACATCAAGATTTGACTTTTTTTAGGAAACATTTTAGAGGAAACAGGGTTTTTAATCCAACAAAGTTCAGAACCTTCAGAACCTGAATAAAGGAAGACTCCTGGTTTAAGATCTGCACGTTGTTGGTTCAGCTGCAGGTTGAACTGTGATACAAGACCACCTGTTCTGGTCTGGTTAGGTCTGGTCTGGTCTGAGAAGAGGCGGGATGTTCTGGAAGAACACGGCCTGGTCGTGGGACGATGCAGCAGATAATGATGATGGTGGTTATTTGCTTGCAGCAGACCTCCGGAGGGCTCCGTACTCCACTTCAGATACTGACCTGAACCACATCCCCACCACCAAAACCACAACGGCCGCCACAACCAACCTGAACCACATCACCACCACTGGACTCAAAGTAGTGACGGACCACAGTCTGGACCTCACCAACCCCATCTACAGCAGCTACGTCTCCACGCTGTGTGTCAACATCAACCGGCGTCAGGCGACCCAGCAACTACCGGTGAGTCCTCCTCCGCTGTCACACATACAGCGTTACAGACTTCAGCAACACAGGGGTCATTAAATAGACAAAGTCAGACTTGGTCTTGACCTGTCTTCATTTAGGACTTGACCTTGCATTTGCTGGTCTTGACTTGGAACTTGTTGATGTAGACTCTGGTCTTATTTGATATCTTGGGAGCTGCCTTTCTTTGTTTGAGATGTATCTTGCTTGACTTACCTGTGGCCCTGTGGTGTTTTGGAGGTTGGTGGAGAACGTCTTGAAGCAGACTGATTGAGTGAGGTGTTGAATATGTCTGAGAACACTGGAGATGCATCTTTGAGTCCATGCAGGTGTATCCATGAACCCATGCAGGTGTATCCATGAACCCATGCAGGTGTTAATGCATTTTGTAGCATCTCTACTTAGCCAAGCTGCTAACTAGCTAAGATGTCATTGACCAATCAGATGATCACAAACAGACTGTGTTTGACTGTTTTTCTTTAAAGACTCAAAGATTCACATGTGATGAATTATAGAGTGAAGCTTCTTCTGCTCCCACACATGTTTACTGCATAATAACACAGCACCTTATTCCCTAAGACCTGAACCCATCTGATCCTGGACTGAACCTAGACCTGATCCTGAACCCTCAAACAGTGAGGACCAGGATTAGATGTCCTCACTATTACGGTCTGAAGCTCACATCGGTCCTCACAAGAGCAACAACTCTCAGGAGGACGAGTGTGTGAACCAGCTTCACATGTCATGTATGATACATGATGCATTAGTTACCATAGCAACAGTGCTCCAACACACGTGCTGCTTCAGAATAAGAGCCTCAACATCATTTTGTTTTGAAAGGGGAAGCTAGAAAAGAGCATCAGGCGATAAAGAGATGTTTTAAGACAGAGTTTCATCAAATGTTCCAGCAGCAAAGACTTCCTGTCTCACTGTCACGGGGTGTGGTGGTGGACTCGAATGCAGGACCAGAGGCAGTGAGAAACAGGTTTTAATGAGTATTGAACCAAAATAGGAATCGTTACCAGAACACAGGGAGTCCAAGCACAAGACAAGAAATGAGGGGGAAAATCCAGCAGGACGAGGCAGAGCAGGAAGACTGGAAAACCGGGACCTGGACGAGCCAAACGGGCAGGTAGACATGACAATGGTCTGTCAGTGAGTGGCTGAGAGGCTGGAGTTTATACTGTGACTGATAGAGGCAGGTGATGAGGAGGGAGTGCTTGATTAGTGACCAGAGGCAGGTGAGGGGAGGTGTGCTGATGATGAGGGAGGCAGACAGGTGCACTGAATGAGCTGATAGGTGAGGTGAGTGAGAAATAAAAAGACAGGAGAGAAGGGGCAGAGCTGTGACAGTCACAGTGAACCTGAGTCCACTTTTGTGGGTTCCGGTTCAAGTCATTTCAGGTCTGTGAGGGCGAGCGGGACCGGGTTTACGGTTCAGGTCTGTGAGGGACTAGCTGAAGACCGTCAAAGTCCAGAGTTGAAAACAGTCGATCCTGAATGACAGCGTTCACACGGGGAGGGGGAGTGTGTGTGTGTGTGTGTGTGTGTGTGTGTGTGTGTGTGTGTGTGTGTGTGTGTGGGAACCAACAGTCAGAAGAATAGCAGGAAACACACACTCACAAACAGAGTGTGTATCCGTCCGATAAGACTCACACTTCCTGAACTCTCTGCTCTCTAACATCCAGTAGACTGTTGAGTCTCTCACACACTGGTCCACCTAGACCACTAGACCAGCTGGACCTGGGACAGACCTGGTTCTGTAGATCTGGATTGGACTTGTTGTTTTTTTCCCCTGGTTTTGTGAAGTCTGGATTTGGATTAGTCCAGATTCTTTGTCTCTGAAGCCTGGAATAAATCTCTTTCTTATAATCTGGACCAGGGTCAGATCTATTTCTGGTTCTGTAAATTTGGACCTGGTTCAGACCTGACTGCTCTTGTAAAAGTTTGGGTTAGACCCAGATCTGGCTCTTTAAACCTGAGCTGGTTTCCATCTGGCTCTGGTTTTTGTTGAAAACTCTTTCTGTAAATCTGGACCTGGATTAGACCTGGATCTGTGTTTATTATTCTGAATCAGACCGGATCGTCTGAGCCCTGGATCTGAAGATGGACGGGTGGACCTGCAGGATTTGAAATCAACGTGATCTGCTGTGATGCACACGATCCACAGTCTGTGTCGAGTCTGCATCGGACAGAATCTGCCTCAGGTCTGATTATTGATTCTGATTTAGGGACCAGTTCCCTTTTTTATTTGGACTCTGATGAAAGTTGAGTTCTGGATCAGAACTCTGTTCATTCTGTCTTCAAACTCTCTGGAGGAAATTAAGTGGGTTAGGGTTTGGGGGTTTGTGGGGTTGGGGGGGGCGTTCAGCTTCGGATTACTTACTACAGAGTTTCCTTCAGGTTGTTGTGAGACTAGTGGATCCTAGACCCTCTAGGGGGGTCTGGGGTCATGAAGAAAATGTTAAGGTGAGCCACCAGGACTGTTGTCCTTTAGGTGTGTTTTCAGCTCCCAGTAGGACACAGTAGAGTCCAGTAGGGCCCACTAGAGTCCAGTACTGGTTTCAGGTTTCTGATACCAAGATGACATTAAATCGTCAGTTTTTTTAATGGAGTCGGTGTGACAGACATTCACCAACAAACGCAAACATCACAGCAGGAAGTCTCTTCTGATTGGCTGCATAGTGTGATGTCACTACAGGCTGTTTGTAGGTTTTTGACAGGAAATGACAGAGTAGTTTGTGTGACAAGTCGATCAATAATTCAAACACATTAAAACTGCATGATGGTACTGAGAAACTCTGTGTGACTGTGTGTGTGTGTGTAAATGTGTGTGTTTGAACAGGCTACACAAACATTCGAAGACAAACTTGAACTCTTCAGTTCGGAGCGAGGTGTTTATTCCGCCCTGAGATTTGTCTTCAGGCCTCCTCTCAGGCTGCAGCTTGTATTCAGCCATGAGCTGTAGAAGTGTAAGAAGTCACCGTGATGTCACCCGTTGGTTTGTGGAGGGCTGTTTTGAAGCCTCCAGTTCGGCATTTTGACCGAAGCCATCTTGTTTTCCTGAAACCAGAAGGGACACCAGAAGGGGTGGAGCTACGAACGACTGAACGCTGAATACAATAATTTTAGGGAGCAAAGTGTTTCGATCCTCTTTGATGAAGTGAAAACACGTCGTAAGACGAAACGCAGGGCAAATAAATACCCAATGTTCACTGCTGCCGTGGATGAACCAGGGTCCTCCTCAACACTGGGCCCACTGAGCATGCTCAGTAGCGTTTCCTTTAGCCCCGCCTCCCAGCCTGTTTCTCATTAATACCTCATTAATTTAATACCTGATGATTAAAATAAGAGTTTGTACCTCAGAATAGATATATATATAAAGAATATGTTATTACATATAATGATTAAATATTATTATATATGTTATTACATATAATATGATATATGTTATTACATAACGATTACATGTTATTACATAATGATTACATGTTATTATATATATGATTACATGTTATTATATATATGATTACATGTAATGATTAAATGTTGTTACATGTAATGATTATATGTTGTTACATGTAATGATAAATGTTATTACATACATCACTGTGTTTAAATATCAGACGTCTCTGTGGACATGTGAACCAAACTGAACCTTTAGAGAAACACAAACACTGAGAGTCTGAGTCCTCTTTAAAGACCTCCTCCCTGGTGTGTCTACTCAGACCCGGCAGGAGGTTTAATATCAGCCTGTCAGTCTGAACTCAGGGACATTTAACTTCCTTTGTGCAGAGAAAACTCTCAGGAGGAGTCATGGTAACAGACATACCTCCAGTCCGGATCTGGATGTGTCAACATGGCCGAATACATCAACAGTGTTCATCCTCTGGAGAGCAGGAAGAGCAGCAGTCACTAACATCGACAGTGTTCATCCTCTGGAGAGCAGGAACTTCATTCATCCTCTTGAGGGCAGGAAGAGCAGGAACTTATTTTATCTTCTGGGGAGCAGGAGGAGCATGAATATGTAACTTGTAACAGATATTCTCAACAGTAATAAAGTGTCACATCAGTTTCACAGTTCTGGTTTATCGTTTTCAGGATGTATCAGCAGCCACAGAATCAATGTATGTATATGTATGTACAACTAGATGGATGTGTACATGTATATCTATGTAAAGATAAGTGTATAAGTACAAGTATGTATGTAAAACTACATGGACGTGTATAAGTACATGTATCCTATAGATCCAGCTGAACTGAACTCTCTTTGTTGTTTCCAGGTGAACGTTGTTCGAGGAAAAGATGGTTTTGGATTCACGATCTTCTCAGATTGTCCAGTTAAAGTCCAAGCTGTCGACACCGGTGAGAAAACCCACTATTTAAATATTATAAACAATGCAAACATGATCACTATTATACACATAAACATTATAAACACTATAAACATAAACACTATAAACATTATAAACATGAACATTATAAACATGAACATTATAAACATTATAAACATGAACACTATGAACATGAACATTATAAACACTATAAACGTTATAAACATGAACACTATAAACATGAACACTATGAACATGAACATTATAAACACTATAAACGTTATAAACATGAACACTATAAACATGAACACTATAAACACTATAAACATGAACACTATAAACACTATAAACATGAACACTATAAACACTATACACATGAACATTATAAACACTATACACATAGACTATAAACACTACAAACATGAACATTATAAACATTATAAACATGAACACTATAAACATGAACATTATAAACACTATAAACATTATAAACAAACACTATAAACAAACATTATAAACATTATAAACATGAACACTTTAAACACTATAAACATGAACATTATAAACACTATAAACATGAACATTATAAACACTATACACAAAGACTATAAACACTATAAACATGAACACTATAAACACTATACACATGAACATTATAAACACTATATACACATAGACTGTAACACTATAAACATGAACACTATAAACATGAACATTATAAACATTATAAACATGAACACTATAAACATGAACACTATAAACATGAACATTATAAACACTATGAACGCTATAAACATAAACACTATAAACACTATAAACATGAACACTATAAACACTATAAACATTATAAACAAACACTATAAACAAACATTATAAACACTATAAACATGAACACTATAAACACTATAAACATGAACATTATAAACACTATACACATAAAGACTATAAACACTATAAACATGAACATTATAAACATGAACGTTATAAACATGAACACTATAAACATGAACACTATAAACACTATAAACACTATGAACATGAACACTATAAACACTATGAACATTATAAACATTATAAACATGAACACTATAAACATGAACACTATAAACATGAACACTATAAACACTATAAACATAAACACTATAAACACTATAAACATTATGAGCACTATACACATAAACACTATAAACACTATAAACATGAACAATATAAACACTATAAACACTATGAACATAAACATTATAAACATTATAAACACTATAAACATAAACATTATAAACACTATAAACATAAACATTATAAACACTATAAACATGAACACTATAAACATGAACATTATAAACAGTATCAACATGAACACTATAAACATTATAAACATGAACACTATAAACATTATAAACATGAACACTATAAACATTATGAACAACATAAACATAAACTTTATGAACATTATAAACATTATAAACACTTTTAACATAAACATTACAAATCAGAAAGCAGTCAAACAATAATATAAATTGATAAACAGCTCACCTCCCTGAGTCCTAGACATAAGTTATGTAGCCTAAAGGTCATGAACTTCTCCGCCACCTGATTGGACAAGGACTCACTAGCTGGGCTGTGATTGGTCCAAACTGTAGAACAAACCACCTTCAGTTGAGATCTGTAGCAGTGAGTTTACGAGGCTTTATTTGTTTGTAGGAGGTCCGGCTCACCGGTCTGGTCTCCGTCATGGAGACTCGGTCCTGCAGCTGAACGGACTTCCTGTGGAAACCTGGAAGTGCGTCGACCTCGCCAACACCATCAGGTAGCCCCACCCCCTCAGAGTCTGACCTACTACCTGTTACCTGTTAGTGTTTACTCTGTTTAATTAGAACTTCATATGGAAAATAAATCCACCTTTTGGGTCTCAGCAGTCCTCCGTACTGTCTAAAGGCAGACGAGTCTAGTCTCAGGATTAAACAGCTTTACAAAGTTTGCATTTAAAACCAATACAAAAAATAAAATAACTTGATTTTTTTCGAGACTTACACCCATTAATTTTGGATTGAAAACACAAGTTTGATGAATGTATTTAGATTTTATTGTTGACTTTAATATTTTTCACATCAACAATAATAACCTGTCAGTCTGTATTCAGGAGCTGCTCGTCTCAGATCGTGTTGGTGGTCTGGAGAGGTGGTTTACCTGAGCTCAGGTCAGGATGTGAAGCTTTGCTCCGCCCACCAACACATAACCAGGTGAGTCTCTATAAATAAACAGTCCGACACCTGCTGGTCACAACAGGAACTGACCGTCTCCTCGTCGTTTCCTAGACAACAGGCAGGAAGCTCCTGCCTCACCCCGCCCACAGTAAACATGGCCGCAGATGGGGTCAAGGGTCAGGGGTCCGGTCTAGTTGGGGGGCTCTGGGATCTCTGTGGAGGGACAGGAAGGAGGACCATGAGGAGGAGGAGGAGCAGGAGGAAGATCAGGAGGTGACCGAGTACTCATCTCGCACCACCACACTCAAGGGCACCCGCGTGACATCATCAGACGGAGACAATTACATCATCCTGTCACCTGTCAATCCAGGAGGACAGGTGAGTCTGAGGAGGCGGGGCCTCTCAAAATGTGTCTTCTCATCGAAGGTAGAACAACCTTCGGATCCATCTGAGCCTGACTTAATATCTCACTAGAACAGGGGTCGGTAACCCGCGGCTCTCTCAGCCCCTCTGTTGCGGCTCCCTTGACAAAAAACATTAAAATAAATAACTTTTTTTTCTTTTTGCACAGTGGACTGAAGGCCTGCATAGTTCTGTTTAGTGCTGTGTCCTCAATGTAGCCCTACACATGCCAGTGTATTTTTTTTCTCCTCTTCATAAAAGTTAAAATAGCAATAAAATGTCAATAATTGTCTTTATTCTTGTTCTATTATTTCATAAATACAACAAACTATAGTTTTTGTATATATAATATAACTATATATAAAACGTATATAAGCTGTGATATCGAATAGCTTTTGCGGCTCCAGACAAATTTTATTTGGTGGAAAATAGAGCAAAATGGCTCTTTGGACAGTAAAGGTTGCTGACCCCTGCACTAGAACCTTTCATCTGACTCCAAAAAACACCTAGAACATTTCATGAGAACCATAACATTACTGATAGTGTTTCTCCTGAACCCAACATAGAACCTTTAACATTCAAACATGATGCAGAACCTTTAATCAGACCCAAACAACACCTAGAACATTTCATGAGAACCATAACATTACTGATAGTGTTTCTCCAGAACCCAACATAGAACCTTTAACATTCAAACATGATGCAGAACCTTTAATCTGGCTAATAATCTTTCCCCTCCACTAGAACAGAACTGACAACCTTTCTCCCCACCAAGAACCCTGAAGCTTACGTAGAACTTTCCAAGCAGACACGATCAGTCCGATAGAACGTCGTCATCATGATGTTTGTTCTTTCACAGTAATCCTAATAATGTTCCGTCTCTGTGTTTTAGCTGCTGCAGCCAGTTTATCATGACAGTAATGGAACTCTCGGTAACACCACTCTGACTATTGATCATTCATGAATGTATTGAATATATTACCTGTGTATTGATGATATATAAACATCGAACAAAAAGTTTGGAAATTAGTGTTTGGTAGATCATTTCTCTGTTGTAACAATGATTCTTGGCAATAAATGTTATACCGTTGGAAAGCCTGTTTATTTACCTTTCAAACGGTGCCCCATTCATAAGGAACATGCATTTGTGGGATGAGCAGCACAGCTGAGTATGTGGGTTGCGCCCATGAAAACTTTGCCAAATCTTCTCTGCCAATGCCAAACAGCTTATTTGCTTATTTGCTATTGACTCTTGTTTGGTGTTTGGTGGATTGAAGTCTATCAGTAACAAGGAAGAAACAAGACATATTGGCAATTTCCCAATTTATTCATTTAACTAATTAATTTACAGGAGCCTCAGTAGTGTGTGGAAGAACCATACACAGCCACAGCGTTCTCCCGTCTTCTCCACACTTTGACCATATGATCCAACTTCCTTAGGCAGAATCTGGACTCATCGCTGAACATAACGTTCCTCCACATGTTCAGGTTCCAGTGCAGGTGTTGCCGACACCAGCGCAAACGGGCCTGACGGTCAATAGCAACAGCAGAATAAGCTTTTTGGCATTGGCAGAGAAGATTTGGCAAATTTTTCAAAGGCGCAACCCACATACTCAGCTGTGCTGCTCATCCCACAAATGCATGTTCCTTACAGATGGGGCGCCGTTTGAAAGGTAAATAAACAGGCTTTCCAACGGTATAAAATGTATTGCCAAGAAGCATTGTTACAACAGAGAAATAATCTACCAAACACTAATTTCCGAACTTTTTGTTCGATGTTTATTACTGCTGTTATTTTGTTGTTGATCACCAGGGCGTCTGTACCAGACTCACCCCAGCAGAGGTCAGAACCTCCTCCACGACCCTCCACCCGGATCGTCGCGGCGACTTATCGGTGGCTACACCTCCACCCTGCCCCCGCCCCCCTCCTCTTCATCAGCCCCGCCCAGTAACTACGGCAACTACCAGAACTGCACCATCGTCCAATCACATCTGCCCTGCCCTGCCTACGGAACCTACGTTACCCTGGAACCCAAAACCCTCATCTTCCCCATCTTTGTCCAGGTAAGACCTTAAAATCTAATCAGGTTCTATGTATTAGAACCTTCTTATATACGGTTGTATTAGACCAGTTTTATATATCGGACTCTTCTTATATACATTTGTTACGTTCCCCGTTCTGGCATCTAAGGGATGCGGGGAGTAACGGTGTTATTTTCCCGGGGAAAGAGACTGAGCAATTGATGATGGTTTAACGAAAAAGTGTTTATTATGATAAGGCTAGCTGCTTGCACGGCAGCAACAGATAACTACTTTCTGGTAACAGAAAGCGACAGTATACAAACACCACAGCCCACACGGCTGGTGCAGCAGTAGAACCCGACGTTACCTGCATATCCGCAGAGGTGCGAACAGAACCAGACTGCAGCTCTAACTCACGCATCCTCACAGCCATATCTGCCTCCAATTTACGTAACCTGAACTCATACTCCCGCTCTCGGTCTTGTTCTCGCTCTTCCTTCTCCCGTTCTCGCTCTTCCTTCTCCAACTGAAGACGAGCGAGGCGCACTTTTAAGCGAGCGTCATCCCTAGAACCAGAAGCTGACCCCGTAAACAGCAGATCAAACTGAGGCCATGTGCGTGGCTTCACCTCCGCCCTGCCTCTCTGTGCCGCCGGAGTGAAATACTCCACGGTCTCCTCCCACCCCGGAGCATCCCCGCTCCCGTCACCCAGAGATACTGCTGCCACTGCCCCAGCCGCAGCCGCTCCGTCAGGAGCCTCCTCGGGTGCCGGTAACCGGAGAACACCCTGCATACATAAACTGTTAAACAGTACGGCTTTGAGTTCCCCCTTCGAAAGGGCACTCGACACAGAGATACTATAATGCGCTGCCACCTCCCGCAACTCACTCTTCGTACACTTCTCTAACTGAGTGATAGAAGGAGTCGCCACAAATTCCTCCACATTAAACTCTGCCATCCTCACACAGCGAAGCAAGGGAAAACACACAGCAGCCCTAGCTCACTGCTAGCAATGCCGCCAACACTACAGCACTCAGCTGAGTTATCTCACAAGCTACAAACAGCTGACACGTACACACAATTACGCTCACAAGTGACCACCGTGATAAAAGGTTGATACCGGATGCCACCTACCACCATTACACAGTGTTTACGGCCCTCTCAGCAAAAATACACAAACCTCCTCAGATCCTGCCTAACCAAACCTTTACCTGCCCATCTTCTGGAGCGTGCCGGGCTCGAGGCGACTTGAAAGGTAAACATCAGCGGCCGAAACCCTGAAACGCCTACCTCCACCAGGGACTGATCCCCACCCAGGATTACTCCGAAAATAAAAAAGGCAAAATAATAAACAAGTGCCCGATGGAAAGACCGTTAAGCCCAGCTGGACACTCCCCTGTCTTTTCTGAGGAAGCTGCGGTACCGTTTGCTTACAAGGGACAATAAGACAGACCACCAGACATCAACACCTACCACAACAGCACTTAACAACCGGACCCTCAACAACTACCCAATCCGCTCTTCAGATCCAGGACGAGCCCCCATTTGTTACGTTCCCCGTTCTGGCATCTAAGGGATGCAGGGAGTAACGGTGTTATTTTCCCGGGGAAAGAGACTGAGCAATTGATGACGGTTTAATGAAAAAGTGTTTATTATGATAAGGCTAGCTGCTTGCACGGCAGCAACAGATAACTACTTTCTGGTAACAGAAAGCGACATTATACAAACACAACAACCCACACGGCTGGTACAAAGGTGCCGATGGTCCACCGAAACACACACGCAGCTCCACTGCTACGCGTTGCCCAAAGGGTGTCTGCTCTCACACGCACAGCCTCACTACTGTCTGCCCAAGAGAGAGAGAGAGAGCCCGTCCTTCCAGAGATCCTCTCCTTTTAGCCACCAGCCACAGCTAATGGCGATTCAACGCAGCCCGGTCCAATCAGTCGCTGCAGCTGGCATCTGGGACAGAGGGTGGCACCCGAGAAGACTGAGGAAACAGAGGGAGAGCACAAACACGGCACGTAACAACATTACATTACAGTCATTTAGCGGACGCTTTTATCCAAAGCGACTTACAATTCAGATTCTACCACATTCATAGGCGCAACTTTTGGGGTTAAGTGTCTTGCTCAAGGACACATCGACTAGCCGGGGATGGAGCCTCTGATTGAAGGACGGCCCTGCTCTCCACTTAACCACACTCGCCCTTACATTAGACCCGTCTTCTATATGATTCTATGTATTAGAACCTTCTTATATACAGTTCTATGCATTAGTGTGGTGGAAAAAAACTATTCAATAGTACCGAGTGAGTCCTATAATACTGAAACAAGAAACATGGAGGAAAGAAGTTTGTCTTTAAAGTATTTATTCTCTGACCAGAGAAGGCTTCACCGTCATACAGACTGCAGGTCAGTCTGCAGAGGATGAGCCAAGAGTTCAGTTTGTCTCCTGCTCTTAACCATCTCAGCACACAGTAGGGGGAACATCAGGTATTTACAGTATAACAATTGATCAGCGGTTTCAAGCTCCCCATTGACCCCTCCAGTCACCCCTTCCTCTTCTGAGCCTTGTCACACAAAGATCTTTCTTTATTACTCTTGCCTATCTCTGAGAATCCTCACGCCTCAACATTCTCCGGTTAAACTGCAACCCCCATTTGGTTACTTCCCCTTATCAAAGATAACCCATATGGTCCTGTTACCACTCTCCTGTACGGTTCTATGTATTAGACCCTTCTTGTATAAGGTTCTATGTATTAGACTGCTGGTCCTGAGTCTCTTTTGTTGTGAGGTTGGGTTCTTGATGTGTTCTGTTTTCAGCCCCTAGACCTCTGCAGCCCAGACAGAACATTGCTGATGTCAGAGGAAATGGTTCTACACCAAGCCCACCTCTTGCCTGCAAAGGTAACTGTACTACAAGTATTCCAGTTCTACTACTACCAACGAACTACAAGCACACAGGTACTGTAACTGTTCCAGTACTATTGCCAAAGAACTACAAGTACTCAGGTCCTGCAAGTGTTCCAGTACTACTGCCAAAGAACTACAAGTACACAGGTCCTGCAAGTATTCCAGTACTACTGCCAAAGAACTACAAGTACTCGGGTACTGTAAGTGTTCCAGTACTACTGACAAATAACTACAAGTACTCAGGTACTACAAGTGTTCCAGTACTACTGCCAAAGAACTACAAGTACTCAGGTACTGCAAGTGTTCCAGTACTACTGCCAAAGAACTACATTGTACTCAGGTACTGCAAATCAGAGCTGAAACAAGGAAACTAATCTACTACTTATATTTTATTTGATTCATCGTTTCAATAATTAGTATTAATAATAAAATACTGCTCTCAGAATAGTACTACTAGTATTACTGCATTAAAGACACAAAGTGATTATTGATCCGAAAGTCTGCAGTCTGAACCTGATCCTGAAGGCCATGAAGACCTGAACCAGGATCAGTGTCACACACACACACCTACACTTACACACACACACACACAGACACACACACACACCTACACACTAGAACATGATGTCACTGTCAGACATTTCTCAGGTTCACATGACTGTGAATATTTAAATATGAAACAAACATGCTGTGATGATGTCATGACAGCTATTAATGGTTTAATTGACAGTTACACTAAAACATGGAAGAGCAGCCATGGCTTGGTCAAGATAACTGGCAATTAATGAAAAAACGTGACTTTGCTCTCGAAAGGTCTCCAGTCACAAAGACTGATACTGATCATCTCATTTATACAGGCCTAAGAAACAAAGTTGTCACGAGCTACGCAAAGCCAAGATGAATTACTTCTCAAAACTTATCGAAGAAGCTGAGGGTAGTTTAACCAACTCTAACACCCATAAGTATCAGAGAATAAAGGAACTGAGAATAAACAACCAACCTATCTCTGATAATGCAACAATTGCAAATGAATTCAATGCTTTTTTTGTAGACTCAGTACAGGAACTCGCAAACAATTTTAAACCAGTAGAACCTTCCCCGAGACCTGGAAAACAGCCGTTATCAGTCCAATCTTTAAATCTGGTGAGCAAGACTTCACATGCAATTACAGACCCATCGCCATCCTCCCAGCTGTCTCCAAGATACTGGAAAGAATTGTAGCAGAGCAACTCATAATACATGTAGAGACAAATCAGTTACTGTATCAACAACAATGTGGATTCAGACCCAAACATTCTACTGAGACTGCAAACTGTCATGTAATTGAAAAAGTAACAGATCTTTTGGATAAAGGTCATGCTGTGGGAGCAGTTTTATTCGACTTAAAAAAGGCTTTCGATACCGTTAACCACAGCGTCTTGATATCCAAACTTCCCAAATTTAAAATTTTCTGATCATGCCTCACAATGGTTTGACTCGTACCTCAGGGGAAGAGTACAATGTGTGAGAGTCAATGGGGAAAATTCCACCATCCGTGCCAATAGCATGGGGATACCCCAGGGGTCAGTCCTAGGTCCTGTGCTATTTAGCAAGTACATCAACAACCTACCCGAGAGCTGTCCTGTGGTTGGCTGCCAGATGTATGCCGATGATAGTTATTTATACATCTGCCAGAACATCTAGCAAGGCCGCTGACCAGCTTACTGAATCCTTACATTCTGTATCACATGGCTTGAGTCCTCTCACTTAACACTGAGTGTAAAAAAAACAGTTTCAATTTGTTTTTCAATAACGACACGAAACAAAAATGCAAGATTTATGGTAGAAATAAAGAATGAGGTCATCAGTGATGTTGACAATGTCAAGTACTTAGGAATCATCTTAGACTCTCATCTAAGATTTGATAAACAAGTGCATAATATCAGCAAAAAAGTTAAATCAAATCTCAACTGCTTCAGATTCATCAGAAAATATCTGCCATTCAGTAGAACCCAGCTCTACATGCACGCCATGATATTCTCACACCTATCATACTGCATCACTACCTGGTCACAAGCCTCACAATCAACCATACAACCCATCATATCACTGTAACCAGACATTAAACACAATCAACTGTACAACCCATCATATCACTGTAACCACACATTAAACACAATCAACTATACAACCCATCATATCACTGGATAACCAGACATTAAAAATTATGGACAAAAACCAATGAGGTGGCACCATTGTCACATCTTAGAAAAACACTATGTTCAGCTTTGAAAGCTTCATAAGCTATTCCAACCTAAAGCTTATGTTTAAATGCCTACATGGTGACGCTCCTTCACTGCTTCATGACTTCGTTACAAGACACCAGCAGAGTGAACACACGGTCCTCAGGAAACGGGAACTGTCGCATTGCATTAAAGGAGCAAAACTATGGAACGGTCTACCAACTCAGTTGAAAATGCAACACAACTTTAATGTTTTTAATAGAGGTATTAAATCATGGCTAAAAGAGAAACATTGTTCTCACACCCTGTAAACACACTTGCACTTTGTGTATGTATCTGTGTTTTCTTTCTTTTTTTTCTATTTTAACTTTGTTGTGGACAGGTGTTGTAAATTAGCATTTCGCTACATACTGTAGCGTGAGCGGCTCCTGCCCCGTTTCTAGGCGGGGAAGTAGTTTGCACCTAGCACGGTGGTTACTCCGTCGGCTGTCCCACCTGCGAGGATATGCGTTCCTCCTTGAGGTCTCAGAACAATACCTTAACTATAACATATTTAACCATTGTCAACTTTCACAGATTCTTAAATTCTCATGAACCAGACTTTGCTCTTGATAATCGGTCTCAGGTACCTGAGTCACGGTTTACAATTTCAGTTTTGAAAACTCCCAGGATTCAATCTGATAAATCTGTATATCCTTGTCTTTGTAATTTCATATGCTATATATCAATCTAACCGGCGGAATGCAGCCTCCATTTTGCGATGAAAATCTCCGCTCTGTTGACATGAAAAGTGAAATAATCACCGAATTATGATCGCGAGTTATCATATCTGCTGGCTAATTTGAAATGATGCAACAGCCCGCCGTGGGTCTTTATGGACTTACTAATGTGTTTTGGACTAAATCTTTTACTGGATTCGACCGAGTGGACCCTTAGCGATCAAACAAGACCGTTTTTGCTGGACTAGCAAGCACAAGGGGGACGTTATAAATCATAATCGGTGAGTCACGGCGATATTTTATCAGCTATTTTTGGAGTGCTTGTTTGACAGAGACGTTAACTGTACCTGCTGTTATTGTATCTTGAAATGGTTTGCATAAATCGAATTACAAGAACCGTAGCTTTCTAATGAGATATCACATTAATACTCATCGTTACAGCAAATACAGTACATAACACAAATCTACACTTAACATAGATTCAATGAGTAAAATACTGTAACATATAATATCCTCTATAAGTAAGAATATTGTAAACATATAATACATTCCATAAGTAAACATATTTTGACATTCTTATTATTGTGACACTTCTACTCACCACTTGGGGTGTTATTAAATCCTACTAATAATGTTTTTAATACTGAAATCATTCACAGTAACTAAAGGGTCTTATTTTGGGTAACTAAAGGGTCTTCTTTTGGCCATCTCTGAGGGGGTAAGAAGTCTATCCCATTCTATAGTTGGGGTGGGGAGAAGCCCCAATCTCACAGTTTTTCTGCTGCTTTCTATGCTGCTCTAAGGCTGGCACCTCCTTCATTTCATGTGTCACTCATACATGAGTCCTCCTCTCTCTAGAGCTGACACAGAATGTAACTGGTGGTAACTGGTTTGATCCTGCTAGAACCAGAAGCACTGTATGGCTCAAGTGACTATTTTAAACAAAGTGTCTAACTTTAAACAGTTTATATGTTAAATCACAGCAATCATAAAATAAAACAATTCACATTATGATTGTTATAAAAAGTGTAAACAAGCTATATGTTGTGCTGGTTATACTTTGAAATCAAAAGGGTTGCAGGTTATAATAGCTATACTTTATGCTTTCATACTTTTCTACGATCTTTCTACAAAACACTTAACACAGTGCATCTGGGCTTTGTGCGTAAATGTATGTTACAATTCTATTGCTACTGTGTGAAACATATCAAATAAAATAAACATTGTGTGTGTGTGTGTGTGTGTGTGTGTGTGTGTCAGGTGACAGTGTTGATCTACAGTGACCTCATGCTGTTCACCAGAGAGGACGAAGCCGGACGCTGCAATGTCCTACAGAGTCCACTGTACCTGAACACACTGCAGCTCAGAGAGGGTACACACATATATTACATTACATTACAGTCATTGAGCAGACGCTTTTATCCAAACAAACTTACAATAAGTGTATTCAACATATTCAAGAGAACTACGAGTCACCAGAAGTCAGAAGTGCATCTCCTTTAAACAAGCATCTAAGAGCATAAACCAGAGCAGAAGTACAGAAACAGACAAGTATGAATACAGTAAGTGCTAAGTGGAAGGCTCAGGGTAGGCCTTCTTGAAGACGTGAGTCTTCAGCCTGATGAAAGATGGGCAGCGACTCTGCTGTCCTGACGTCAGTGGGGAGTTCATTCCACCACTGTGGGGCCAGGACAGAAAACAGCCGTGACCGGGTCGATCGGCCGCAGGGACCTCTGAGCGATGGGGCAACCGATCGCCCCGAGGCAGCAGAGCGAAGTGGTCGGGCGGGGGTGTAGGGCTTGACCGTGGCCTGGAGATAGGAAGGAGCTGTTCCTGTCACTGCCCTGTAGGCTAGCACCAGAGTGAAGTTGTGTGGGAGAACTTGGGGCGATTGAACACCACGTGTTCAGAGGGGAGGGAGAGCTGAGGGGGAAGAGCTGGAGAGGGTAGAGAAGGAGAGGGGGGGCTGAGAGAAACAGATTACTGACCCGCAAGTACACGCTCTAGAAGTCATTGCTTGACAAAGTCTGGCTTGAAAAAGTCGCCATGTTGCCTTTGTTTGCCCGACGCTTGGAAGCTGATGCTTTCAACCACCAGCAGTGGTTAAGGACAGCTGTCTACTGATTGCTCATTGTCTGCCAGGAGTGCAAGCCACGCCCCTGCCACTTAACGGGGCAATTGACCAGGTGAATCCAAAACACATCTACCTTACACAGACAGAGACTGCAAAAGTATTAACACGAAGCAGCCTAGGTACAGCTAATAACAACATGTAAAGGCAAAAACAATATACTGAGTCTGTTCTAGGTGAGTCAGGAGTTCAGTATCTCTCCAGAAGCCTATACGCACACACACACACACAGAGACAGCCTGCTACACATTTATGAGGAGGATATGTGAGCTATCTAACCGTTGTGTGTGTATATGTGTGTGGGTGTAGTCCCTTCCCAGCCGCTCCACATCTTCCTCCAGACTCCTCGTCTTCTCTTCAGTCTTCAGACGTTCAGCATCGATCAGAGACTCAGAGTCAGTCTGTGTCTCCGTGACAACGTCCACCTACAGCTGGTCGCTAACCACCAGGTGAGACAGGAAGTGACACGCGACCAACAGGAAGTGACACGTGACTAGCACACATCACTTGTAAACCACATACACTCTAATGTAAATGCTAAACCCTCTTCCCCCTCCTCTCCCTCCTCCTCTTCTCCCTCCTCTTCCTCCTCAGCTCTCAGACCTCCCCTCAGATCTTGGCGTCCTCTCTCTCGGTCAGTGTGACCTCCTCCCTTGCTCCTCCTCTGATCCTCCCCTCACCCACTCTTCTTCCTCCCAATGTGACGCCCCCAGCTCTGCCTTCTCCTCCTCCGCTCCTCCCATCTTCTCCACTTTCTCCCCCTCCTCACCTCCTTCTAGGACCTTCACCACCACCCATAAGCTCCTCCCCCAGCCTTCCTCCTCTTCCTCCCAGAGGAGTCCAGTGTGGAAGGAGACAGGAGGAGCAGAGGAGGAGAGGAGGAAGAACAGGTGTGAGGAGGTGGAGGAGCGGCAGCAGGGGGAGGGGGAGATCACCTCGGAAACATCAGAGAATGTGGGAGGAGTCAGGGGGCGGGGCTTCAACAGGAAGGAGGAAGAAGAGGAGAGTGATGATGAAGAGGAGGAAGAGGAGGAGTTAACCTTCAGACCTGCAGGTGAGTTCATCTGCTCCTGAAACAAATCCTGAAAGCAGTTGAAGTGTTGAAGAGTAATTCTTCTTCATGTCCTCTAGTTCTGCGTCGTTCTCTCTCTGAGGGTTCTCTGCTGAAGGAACCTCGATCGCCTCACTTCCTGTCTGACAGCACTCACTTCCTGTCTGACATCACCATCCACAGACTCACCCGCCACGCGACCTCTGACCTCGACCCCGACACAGGCCACGCCCCCCGCCCCCCCTCTATCCACGCTCTGAGGAAACAGCTGACCAAAGAAGGGGGGTCACTGCACCACATGCTGGTGCTCCTCAACGGCACTAAGGTAGAGACCAGCAGAGACTACCATAGACCAGTAAACACGACCATAGACCTGTAAAGACTACTATAGACCAGCAAAGACTACTATAGACCAGCAAAGACTACTGTAGACCAGCAAAGACTACTGTAGACCAGAAAAGACTACTGTAGACCAGTAAAGACTACCATAGACCAGTAAAAAATACTGTAGACCAGCAAATACTACTGTAGACCAGAAAAGACTATGTAGACCAGCAAAGACTGCTGTAGACCAGCAAAGACTACTATAGACCAGAAAAGACTACTCTAGACCAGTAAAGACTGCTGTAGACCAGCAAAGACTACTGTAGACCAGCAAAGACTACCATAGACCAGCAAAGACTACCATAGACCAGCAAAAAATACTGTGGACCATCAAAGACTACAATAGACCAGCAAAGACTACTATAGACCAGCAAAGACTAATATAGACCAGCAAAGACTACTATAGACCAGAAAAGACTACTGTAGACAAGTAAAGACTGCTGTAGACCAGCAAATACTACTATAGATCAGCAAAGACTGCTGTAGACCAGTAAAGACTACTATATACCGGCAGAAACTACTATAGAGCGGCAAAGACTACTATAGACCGGCAAAGACTACTATAGACTAGAAACGACTACTATAGACCAGAAAAGACTACTGTAGACCAGAAAAGACTACGGTAGACCAGCAAAGACTACTATAGATCAGTAAAAACTACTATAGAGCAGCAAAGACTACTATAGACCAGTAAAAACTACTATAGACCAGCAAAGACTACTATAGACCAGTAAAAACTACTATAGACCGGAAAAGACTACTATAGACTGGCACAGACTACTATAGACCGGAAAAGACTACTATAGACCAGCAAAGACTACTATAGAACAGAAAAGACTACTGTAGACCAGCAGAGACTACTATAGACCAGCAAAGACTACTGTAGACCAGTAAAGACTACTGTAGACCAGCAAAGACTACTGTAGACCAGTAAAGACTACTGTAGACCAGCAAAGACTACTATAGACCAGCAAAGACTACTGTAGACCAGTAAAGACTACTGTAGACCAGCAAAGACTACTGTAGACAAGTAAAGACTGCTGTAGACCAGCAAAGACTACTATAGACCAGTACAAATTACTATAGACCAGAAAAGACTACTGTAGACCAGAAAAGACTGCTGCAGACTAGCAAAGACTACTATAGACCAGCAAAGACTACTGTAGACCAGCAAAGACTACTATAGACCAGCAAAGACTACTGTAGACCAGTAAAGACTAACTTAGACCAGCAAAGACTACTGTAGACAAGTAAAGACTGCTGTAGACCAGCAAAGACTACTATAGACCAGTAAAAATTACGATAGACCAGAAAAGACTACTGTAGAACAGTAAAGACTGCTGCAGACTAGCAAAGACTACTATAGACCAGCAAAGACTACTGTAGACCAGTAAAGACTACTATAGACCAGCAAAGACTACTGTAGACCAGTAAAGACTACTATAGACCAGCAAAGATTACTATAGACCAGTAAAGACTACTATAGACCAGTTAAAACTACTATAGACCAGTAAAGACTACTATAGACCAGCAAAGACTACTCTAGACCAGCAAAGAATAGTAGAAAACAATAAAGACGGTTAGAGAACAGTAAAGACCAACAGAAGTATAGTGTGTAGAAAACATTAGAGAGCAAACCAGCAGAGACCAGTAGAGTTTGGAAGAGGGATTTAAAGTTGAGTAGGGTCTGGTAGAGTCCACCAAGGACCAGTAGAGCTCAGTAGAGTGTGATAGAAACAAGTAGAGTGTGGTAGAGTCCACCAGGGTTAGGTAAAGCTCAGTAGAGTCTGGTAGAGTCCACCAGGGATTGGTAAAGCTCAGTAGAGTCTGGTAGAGTCCACCATGGACCAGTAGAGCTCAGTAGAGTCTACTAACGTCCACCAGGGACCAGTAGAGTCTGGTAAAGTCCACCAGGGACCACTAGAGCTCAGTAGATTCTGACAGTCAGTTGTTGTTTTGTTTGTTCAGGATACAGAGTTCAGAAACCTTCAAATGACAAAGAAGACCAAGAGTCTGTATGTACACACACACACACACACATTCATACACACACAGTTTGTTTGTACTTCTTGTCTCTCTGACTCATCGTCTCTTCAGTGCCGCTGACGTTCGGAGCCGCCTCCTGTTTCTACGGCAACGGAAAAACAGCACCTGTTCCCACAGTAACAGTTTGGAGAAAGCTCTGAGAAACAACAGGTAGGAACTGATGAGGACCCTCAGTGAGTCCTACTGGGTCCTACTGGTCCTGTCTGGGTCATACTGGGTCTTGTTGGTCCTGTTTGGGTCATACTGGGTCTTATTGGTCCAGTTTGGGTCATACTGGGTCTTATTGGTCCTGTTTCGGTCATACTGGGTCCTACTGGTCCTGTTTGAGTCATACTGGGTCTTATAGGTCCTGTTTAAGTCCTACTGGGTCCTACTGGTCCTGTCTGGGTCATACTGTGTCTTATTGGTCCTGTTTGGGTCATACTGGGTCTTATAGGTCCTGTTTGAGTCATACTGGTTCCAGTGGGTCTGAGGTACCTGTGTTGGGAACGTAAAGGAGCGTGTTTGAGTTATCAGCAAATATGAAAAACTAAATTATTGACATCAATAGAATTATTAATGTCAGTAAGATTATTAACAATTAAAATAATAACGGGGCACCACCCTGAGAACAGGGACCAATAACCAAACTATCAACTAAGTCTCATAATGTCAACAGTCAAAGTACTACACATTCAGAGTGAACAGTGAAGGTTTGAAGTTGAGCTATAATCACAATACACATGCACAGAGTAATCACAGACAGCTGCTCTTCAAAGTATAACAGAAGTTCTATTAATAATGATCATGTCAAATAATATCTAAACTAACAACTACTACTATACAATTATGAGCACGCTATCTAACATCAACAAACATCTGTGGTGAGAGAGAGTTTGCGTATGTGTGTGGTGTGTGGGGGGGAGAAGCGAGACTACTCAGACAATGGCCACGTGGGACTACACGTTGAAGACAGATCGAACTATCAAAATGGAGGTGTAGTTTCACATGTGACCACGTCTCGCGACACCACAAAATGGCGAGAGACTCTAAAATGGCGAGAGACTCTAAAATGGCAAGAGACTCTAAAATGGCAAGAGACAATAGAGATTGCGTTATCTGCACGTGTCTGAGGTAGTTAGCTCAACCAGTATATACATGTAGCTTAACGTTATATGTGTGTGTGTTTGTAGAAGAAAAGAGAAAGCAAACAAAACAAAATATATCCTCCAAAACAAAGCAGATCCTCACCACCGCGGTGAAATCCGGAGACTGTTATTCTATCATACAGGAACCCGGCTGACGATCTTGGACTCGCCCAGTTGCAGTTCTGATCTTTGAACCGATAAAATAACAGTTACCGACCCCACTAGCGCTGAATGATCTATCTCAACACGGTGACCCGGCATCGCCCATAGGCCATCAGACCTCTGGAGCTTGTCCAGAAAGCTGCAGCTCGCCTGGTGTTCAATCACCCCAAGTTCTCCCACACAACTTGCCTTCTCCGTTCTCTACACTGGCTCCCTGTAAGAGCTCGCATCCAGTTTAAGTCTCTGGTGCTATCCTACAGGGCAGTGACAGGAACAGCTCCTTCCTATCTCCAGACCATGGTCAAGCCCTACACCCCCGCCCGACCACTTCGCTCTGCTGCCTTGGGGCGATCGGTTGCCCCGTCGCTCAGAGGTCCCTGCAGCCGATCGACCCGGTCACGGCTGTTTTCTGTCCTGGCCCCACAGTG